TTGTTATGCCCTTTGTTCTCGGTTGTTGGCTTTTCTGTGAACAACGTTCACCTGGATGTGATGCACATCTTGGATCTCGGGTGCTCGCAGTGCTTGCTTGGGCTGCTCTTCCATCTTGTGTGTAAGAATAACTTCGCACGCTCGCTGCGACCGAACGCGGCCTTGCGGAAGCACGACAACTTGCCTCACCTGAGGAGGCCGAATCGGGCTCCCCATGGGCATTGTTCGGATGGCCACTTCCTGGCAAGATGGTGGATTGCGGCGCGTGGGTGGAGGAGGATGAGGAGGAGGAGGAGGAGGAGGAGGAGGAGGGGGAGGAGGAGGGGGAGGAGGAGGAGGACGAAGAGGAGGAAGCTGGGGCTGGGAGGTTCCACAAAACAACGCGAACGCCTTCTAGCCAGGAAGGCGGCTTCTCGATAAGTGCCTGCGGGGAGTCCCATTCCCAGGCGGCTTCGGGCCTTCTACATTGCAACGCCGTTGCCTCGTGGGCACAGATGCCGTATCAATCGGATCACCTATAAGATGTTCGCCCCCGCGAATGATAACCGGTATCCTCGTTAAAAGCGAAAGCCGCCGAAACGCGCCACTTGGTACCGTTTGGCGCCCAGCTGTGTTTGGGCAACTTGCGTTTTTTAGGCCCTCAGGGGCCCGCGCTTTGCATCGCCGCCCAGGCCCTCAATGAGGCCCAGGACGTGATGATGCGCGAGCCACGTCGGATGTCCGATGGTGGCGGCGACCGCCTTCAGAAGGCCATGTTAAGATTTCTCCATTTTTGGAAGGCTGCTGGAGGCCATGCGATTTTTAAACACCACATGGCGTTCCACATCCCACAATTCGTGGAAACCCACGGAAACCCACGTTTCTATTGGACCCACGCAGACGAGCAAGAAAATCGTTTGATGGGTCGGGTCGCACAGTCGCTTCACGCTGGCCCCACATTTTATACTCGCTTTTTAGAGAAAGTTTTCTTTGATTTGTGTTGAGTTCTGGTGGGGGGAGTGAGGAAGGAACATGAGGATGATGAATGAGAAAGAGGGAGGGGCCGTTCTGACCAGACAAATGATTATCGATCCCGCTTCTGACGGGACAAATGATTATCGATCTCGCTTCTGATGAGGTGAATGATCATCGCCGTTTAGCGCAGAGGGCCCCATGCTGCGCTTTTGCTTGGGTATGTTTCACCAGGGGGCGCGCGGTAGAGGCACGGGGCGCCCCCCAAAGAGGGCCCGACTGAGGTGGGGAGGGTTGGGCGGAGGAAAACCATGAGGAGGAGGAATCGTCGGTTCTGGGAGATCCTCGGGGGCTTCGATCCGACTTAGCGATTCGCACGGCAGTTTTGCCGATGACACACGCGTCGTTGCATTGAGTTTCTGGTGGAAAGAGGAGGATAGGATGAGGAGGAGGATCCTCGTAGGGCGAAGATCACCCCCAGCAGGGGTGAGCCCTACTATTTCAACGCCGACTTGGCGCCACGCTTTTGATTTGCTTGCAGCTTCAACGAGAGAAAATGATCGACCCAATCGATTGGGGGAGTTGGTTCCGTAGAGAACTGGCGAGTTGGGTCCTGTTGGGGTCTGCTCGAGAGCGGCGCGGCGTCCCCCGCCGAGTGCTGTGCATTTTCGAAGGATCAACGAGAGAAAATGATGCGTTTGGGGAGGGAGAAGAAGACAAGAGGATGATGGTGAGGAGGGGGGGTGGTCTTGGTGCTGCATGCCCTCGCTGCAGCACAGCGGGCCGCTCGGGTACGTCGGGGTGCCCAGATGAGGCCCTTAGTGTTGCGCACACTGTCATCAGTGAGGCCATGAAGTTCTGTTGCAAAATCGTTGCACGCAGGTGCAACATTCTATTCCACGTTTTTGCAGAAGGTTCTCCCTGATAACAGTTGAGTGTCCCTCCTCCCCCATCCCCCTTAACAAGTCATCCTTCACCTCGACCATCCACCATCAAACCATTACCACCATAATCAACGCGTGGGGGTGTTGGGACAAACGCGCAGAGGGCCCCATGCTGCGTGTAGCTTGTTTTTTTTTGTTTCGCCACAGGGGGGCGCGCGGTAGAGGCATGGGGCGCCCCCCCCCGCCCAGGAGGAGGGGGAGGAGTAAAACCGGGACCAAGGAGGGGGATGAGGAGAAAAAGGAATGAGGAGAAATGAGGATGTGACTGTTTCAGCGTGAGAAATGGCGCCCGCCCAATTTGTTAACGCTCGGCGCCGAGAGCGGCGCGGCCGTTGCCGCCGAGAGCGGCGCGCACGCAGTTCTTCTCTTTAACGGGAGAAATGACGTTTACAGGGGAGGAGGAGGAGGAGGAGGAGGAGGAGGAGGAGGAGGAGGAGGACGAAGGGGATGCCCTCGCTGCAGCACTGCAGGGACACGCCGCCCTTCGCATGCTTCTGGTTGTTTATGTTCTTCGTTTGAACGCCAGAAATGATGGCGGACGGAGGAGAGGAGGAGTGAGAAGGGGGAAACATAGGATGAAAGAGGGAAACATGGGATGAACACGGGTACTTTCGAGACCCGCGGTTCGGTCGCGCGCCTGCGCGGCGTGCTGAGAGCACGTTTTTTGCACCTGTCACCGCCGCCGCTATCCATGCGTTCTTCCTTTCAACGTGCTACATGACGTTTTACACGGTTCCCCTGCAGACCGACCCCAGATCTCAGGACGCCGCCTCGCCGCCAGAAGCGACACGCCCGAACCTTGCCCGAACCTTCTTCTTTTCAACGTGAGAAATGATTCGGCGCAAGGGTTGAGAAGGGATTGAAGGGGAGGGATTGAAAGGATTGGATGAAGGTCGGTCCAGACATTCTCAGTAAGGTATCCGGACCGACAGACGTCGATGCTGTTTGTTTTCCCAATCGTTGTCCACGCATGTTTCACCCATCCGTTTCACCCATCCGTTTCACCCATCCGTTTCACCCATTTGTTTCACTGTGCAGGGCGCGCACCAAGCGCTGCTCTGTGCACAACGCGTTTCCACGTTCTTCGTTTGAACGTGAGAAATGACGTTTTACGCGTTCATGCATGGCCGAGGCCCCGCGAACTCTGCGCGTTGAAAAACAAGAAAAAAACAAGCTCAAAAAAAATACCCCCAAGGCCCAGCCACTGGGCCCACAAGGCCCCTCGAGGCTCAACCCAGCAAAAAAGGGAAAACAACCAAACAAAAACTAAATCCCAAAGCAGAGCCAACAATATCTCGAAAGAGTCAAACGAAACGAAAGCAAACGAAACGAAAGCAAGCCAAAGGACTCCCAGGACCCCCCAAAGCAGGCCCAAAAAGGCCGATCCAAGGCCCCCAAAAACAGGCCCAACAAGACCGCCATCCTTCCTCCTGCTCCTCCTCCTCCCGCTCCTTCTCCTCCTCCTCCTCCTCCTCCTTTATTCCAAGGCTAGCGCCTCTGACGCCGACCCCGCCATATTCCAAGGCTAGCGCCTCAGCCGCCTTTCCCCCTCCCCAAAACCTTATTCCAAAAGTAACCGCCTCTGTCACTAAGACGATCCTTTTTGGACTAAGACGATTCGTTTTTAACTAAGACGTTCCTTTTTCAACTAAGACGATCATTTTTCATCAACTTGGTTTTTTTAACTAAGACGATCCTTCTTCATGTGTTTTAAAGTTGTCTTGAGTTTTTTGCAGTGTCTTGAGAATTCCCACACCTTGCGACAAAACTCACAACACATACAGGCGTCTTGAGAAACTCAAGACGCTGGATGTCAGGGTCTTGGTCTCGGCCTGGAGGCTAACGGGCCAGGCCTTGACGCCAGCTTCGACTGCCTTGGCGAGTCGCTCGACCTGGGCGAGGTACCAGGGAGTGCGCCACGCCGGCCGGCGGCCGATGAGCCCGTCGGCGCCCGCCCGCGGTCGGGGAAGGCCGAGGTCGTTACGGGCATCGTGCCGGCGCTGCCTGACGGGCTGCTGGACGGCGCACGCTGGTCTCGAGTGCCGGTTGGAGCCTGGGACTGGCGTGAGGCGATCCACATGAAGGAGCGCCGCATCTCGCTGGCTGGGCTCCGGCATGCCGTCGCAGATTCCAGAGCGCACGGGTGCCAGGTTCTCTCGGTGGGTGACAACCTGTCCGAGATCATGGCGACCGAGAAGGGCAGGGCCGTCGACCATGGTTTGAATGCCCTCTGCCGTAGGGCAGCCGCCCTCCAGCTCGGCGCTGAGGTCCGCTGGGTGAGGAGGCACCTCGAGTCGGAGCGGAACCCGACGGACGCCGACTCCCGACTGGCGGACAAGGGCATCCTGAAGGCAGGCGAGGCGTTGCTCCCTGGCCGCCTGGCCGGGCGGTTGCGGTCGCGTGCCGATTGCCAGGCGGGTGCGCCTGCGCTGGCGGCCACGGGCCAGGGCCCGAGCGTCGCTCGGAGCGCCAGCCAGGCGAGACGGCCGCTCGGTGTTCTGGAATTGTTTGCCGGCTGCGGGCGCCTCTCAGGAGCCTGCGCGCAGGCCGGCCTGCGCATCCTGTGTCCGATTGATGCTGCGAACGGAAAACACGTCAACCTGCTCGACTCACGCGTTCAGCGTTGCGTCATCCGTTGGGTTCGAGAAGGAAAGGTTTGGCACGTGCACCTGGCTCCGCCATGTACCCGCTGGTCCCAGGCAAGATCTACTGGCTCCAAGGACTCCAACGGGGTCACCAGGGGCCTGGCGTTGGCGCTCTTCACTTGTCGTGTTCTACGGGCTTGTCAGTGCGGGGTCACGGTCTCGGTGGAGAACCCGGCCACGTCTGGGATATGGGCCTATGGGCCACTGAAGAAGGAGTTCCAGGAGAGCTCGAGCAGTCCTGTCCGATACGACGCGTGCAGTTCCGGGGCCGCGTTCAAGATGCCTACGATATTCTATACGAGCGTGGTCTCTCTCGGGGCCCTGGGAAAGGAGGTGTAGCTGCAGAGCCCCCGCGAGATCCTCGAGGGGAAGGTCAGGGTCGAGGGTCCAGACGGTCGTCCTACATGGCCCTGGAAAACCTCCTTGGCCGCAGCCTATCCTCCTGGGGTTTGCCGCACGTATGCCGATGGGCTCGAGCAGGCTGCTCCGCCCGGGGCGTTTCTTCGAGCGGGAGAGCCAGCGCGCGGTCAACCTTGGGCCGATGAGCTGGCGGGCGAGGCCAGGGTCGCCCCGCAGCCGTTCGCCACGCCGACGTGTCCACGACGGTTTGCTACTGGATGGGAGCGCGCGACAGGACATGCCATGTGCGGGTCCAGTAGCGAGAGGAGGCGGCAAGCCATCGCTGCTCTCGCCCGCGCCGTCGTCCACCAGGCTGCTGACAACTGCAGGCCCTCCGGTGTCCAGCTCAGCGGACCGAGAGTCGGGCGCGCCGAAGGCGGACTCGCTGCGCTCGGACCGAGCCCGAGCGCGGGCCGCCAGGGCAGGCGGGCCCCAGCAGGAGGGGTACTTGAAGAACCGGTCGGTTTCCGTCAAGACCCTGCGCGTGTACCCAGAGGCAGTGAGGCTGTTCTACCTGTTCTGCAGGAGCGTCATGATGCCCACCGCCACGTACCAGGAGCTAGACGTGGCCATGGAGCAGTACCTGCACAAGCTGTACTTCGACGGGAAGACGATCTCTCGGCCGAACAGCACTGTGCACGGGCTCGTGTACGAGCTGAACCTCACGTGGTCAAAGACGTCGGAGATCCCGCTCATTCGAAAGGCCCTGCTAAGCCACCGCAGGAGCTCGTGCAGCGTGTCGCGGCTTGGCGCCCCGTGGGAGTGCGCTGTCTCCCTGGCCGGCTTCATGGCTCGGCACGCCTTGGTCGAGTCCATCCAGGCGGCCTGCCTCGCCCTCCTGATGTTCGATACTTACCGGAGGATCTCAGAGGCCGTCGCCCTAGGTCGGGGCCAGGTCGTCCTTCCTCAGGCTCGCTCGGGACCTCGAGGCTTCTTCTCGCTGATCGTTGCACCCAGGGAGCTTGGGAAGCCGACGAAGGCGGGCACCAACGACGACACCGTCCTCGTCGGCGAGACGGCACCAGAGAGGAGGCCTGTCCTGCGCGCGATCCTCGTGCAAATCCTGCGGGCAACCAAGCCCGGGGAGTATCCTTTCCCAGACCTCACGGCCCCAAAGTACGGGCTGATGTTCAGACGGGCCTGTCAGGCCTTGGGCTTCGGCGATCTCAAGCTTTGCCCACGCAGTCTCCGACACGGTGGTGCCTCAGTCGACGCCCTGAACGGGGTCGACACTCTCACGATCCAGAGGCGGTGGAACGTGATTGCGTCCTGCCGACGATACGAGAAGAAGGGCCGCATCTTGAAGCAGCTGGCGATTCTCGGCCAGGACCGCGTGCAGGAGTCTGCAGACGAGCTGGCCTGGCTGGTGTCGAGGCTCCCACAGCTGCTTTCCTCGGCCCTGAAAGACAAAAATAATGTTTCTTGAGAATGTGAATGAGATTTGCCCACACGCCCTCCCGTAGGCCCCAGGGGATCCTGGTGGTTGCGGGGAGCTGTTGGGTCACGAGCGTTGCGACAGAATTATGCGTGCTATCTCCCCTGTGGTATATTTCATGATTTACCTGTGAATGCTCTTGTGCTTGAGCGTGCCTGAAGGCGCGACCCGTCTGATGAAAAATCTGTTGCCAGTCTGATCGGGCCATCTTGTGTTTTGAACAGCCTTTCTGGCCACTCCGCTATCCCTACCCCGGCCGCCTAGTGCATCGAGGATTTCAGTCCTTGACGGTTTTCCTTTGGGAACGGGAGGCCGGGCTCTTTGGCTCTCTGTAGTCATCCTGGCCCCACCCACCTCCCTCTTCGACTTTTTTGCTTCTTTGTATCGCATCGGGGAGCTGTTGGCTCACGAGCGTTGCGACAGAATTCTGCGTGCTATCTACCCTGTGGTGTATTTCACGATTTACCTGTGAATGCTCTTGTACTTGAACGTGCCTGAAGGCGCGACCCGTCTGATGAAAAATATGTTGCCAGTCTGATCGGGTCATCTGGTGTTTTTTCACCGCCTTTCCGGGCACCCCGCTATCCCTACCCCGGCCGCCCAGTGTATCGAGGATTGTTTTTGCGGGTGCAGGCGAATCACTGCTTTATGCGCTTGCTACTTCTGTTGCGAGGAGGAGTTTCGACCGTAGCACGGTAGTTGGCTCATTCGTGCGCTTCACAGTGCTAGCGATATTTTTTTGTTTTTTTTTGTGTTTGAGTTTTCGGCATTTGGGACACAGCCCGGCGGCAGGACTGTCCCGTGTTCACTTGGTGTACGCTTGGTACGTCTTATTCGTGGAAGTGAGTTGCACATGATGTGTGTTTGGTACTTCGTGTTCTGAAGGTGAGTCCCAACCATGGCGCGGTCGTTCGTTCACTCGTGAGTTCATCCGTCCCCCCAATTTGCGGGCTCGGCCACGTAGGTTGCCGCTGGCATTCCTCAGCTCGTGAAGTATGTTTGCTACGCAGATTTTTGTGAAATTGAATTGCAATTCGTGTGTGTGTGTGTGTGTGTGTGTGTGTGTGTGTGTGTGTGTGTGTGTGTGTGTGTGTGTGTGTGTGTGTGTGTGTGTGTGTGTGTGTGT